CTCGCTGGAATGTGGCTCACGAAGCTACCAAATGGGGTAAGAGCCCAAATATCAGCAGCAACAGTAGATGGTTCCAAGCTCTAGCATATCTGTATCAAAACCTGGATGCCTGGCCGCAACAAGACCCATGTGTGAATGGAGTGACAGAGGATGTTCGCGTGACACACCTTCATTGTCATCTCGTTAAGCAACAGATAGTGGAATTTGGCAGATACTCGAAGTGGGAGCGCTTGGTACGTGCAGTAGCGTATGTACACAGGTTCATCGATAACTGTCGTCGTAAAATGCAGCGGAAGTCTACGGAAACATCTGTGTGGTTAAATCGGCTATTAGTGAACTGGTACCATCGTCAAAACAAGCACTAAGTTATTAACGTTCAAAATCTTTCATAATTTCATTTGTCGGTTTTTATAAAGTGTACCCCCATCTTCCCGAAAGACGTAGTCCTACGCCAAACATTTACGTCGTTACATTTCTACGGATCAGCTTCTACCCCAAAAGATCAACATCTACAAATCTCTTCCAATTTGCTACGTTTTGCATACGGAACATTGATGCTGATTTGAAATCAGCTTTCGATAAAGTTGACAACGGAATATTACTAAAACGTCTAGGATGAATTGGTGTCTCTGTAGATCTTGTTAGCTGGTTTGCGATTATTCAATTAATGGTGTCATCCTGGATTCAGCGCTGACCTTCCGATCGCACTACAACGGTATTATCTGTAGAGTCAACCTGGAACTTATCTTCAAAGTATCCTGCTAATTTACCGATCCTCTCTGCCTCCGGTCTCTGTACTGCGATCTGGTGCGATCGATTCTGGAATCCAACTCTGTAGTATGGTGCCCGTACCAGTCAACCTGGACTGGTAGGATCGAAGCAATTCAGAGAAAATTTGTGAGATATGCCCTACGACGCCTTCCGTGGCGAGATCCGTTGAACTTACCACAATATGGAGATCGATGCAGATTATTGGGACTGCAGACGCTTGAGCAGAGATATAATGATACCCAAGCGTTGTGTTTTGCTAACATACTAATAAGGTCAACTTAACCTTTACGTTATTGAACGATTGCTTCGTCAACGAAACTTTTTGCTACTTGAGCCCCGGAACTCCTTGTACGGCCTTCATGTTCCTGTCCGCTTCATGTCGGCTAGGTTCAACGAAGTCTGCATCCTCTTCGACTTCAACTCTACTGTGGCAACATTTAAGCGTAGACTGATTGAATTGCATTGATGGATCGCGTGAGATTCGTTATTGTGAAAGGTGAGTAATATTCCGTTGCTACTAAATTGTGACGATTATGCTACCTGCATCTTTTGACGTAGGTTACGTCTTGTGGCAACATATTGAAGGTTGTGCAATTTCAAGAAACCAAAATCGACCGCGTTACGAAAAGTGGTCAGGTTTTGACCACTTATAACTCTGTCAATAGCGGATGGATTTTAATTCTAAACAAGCCAATCGATTGGAAATTTTTCTACGAATCTGCAAAAAAAAACACTATTGAAAATTACACAAATGTCCAACTGTCACCGATTGCCTGCAAAATGCGCTTTCCCTAACACAGATTTCAAAATCAAATTCCACCGTGTGTGGTGGTGTCCGGTTGGTGATGACGAACAGCAGCAGTGCTTTCGGCGCGTGGCGTTGAACATTGTTCTCCAGTACACAACGAAAGGCTGCCCGCAAGTAGCGAGCTACATCCCACATGAGCGTCCATTCACCGAAGAAGGAGGAAAAAGCCGCACCGCTACTGATCGGATTCAGTAGCTCTTCGTGAGTCGCTGTGGGCCATGTATGTCAAACGCGTCACCCTCGTTCCAAAAAACATACAGCTCGGCAGCCTCATCTGTGTTAAACACCCTAATAGCTCAGCATCGTCACCTGCGTCAATAGTTAGATCCACTTTTTCACTTCAATAAAAGTCCATAAAATTCGGTGGTAACATTGCTGAGAACGAGCATTTAAAAAAAAATCCAAGAGTTCAATTTTTAAGTGTTCATAATTTAAAAATTCCAACAGTTTGCATTTTTCATGCGATTTAAAAAAAATCAAAATCGGGCAAGGACATTTCCAGATTTTTGTTTTTTAAATTTTTTAATGAAATTATTGAATACGTCTTTTTTTTTCTAAATTTTTACCAGAACCACATTATTTTTCTCTACTACTTTGTCTCAGACGCAATGTCGATCGGAAGTACCATTGTTTTGAAACATTTCAAAGACGCCATTTTGAAAATTTTACAAGATCCAAAATGACCGAATTTTAGCACAAATGTGAATAATTGCCCATAACAAACAATTATGCAAAGTTTCATTCGAATAGGAGAAGGTCGTGTTTTTCCGATTCGTCATTTGGCGTGGAACTGATCAGAGGTAGAATCTAAAGTTTGTTTATTTTGTCGCTATTTGGCGTGGAACTGCTGCCATGAAATGTTCCAAAAAATAAAAGAAAATAGCATGATGTTCAACCCCTCAACACACAGACAAACCCATCATCATCGTTGTCGAGTTTGTAATCCTAAAAACGGATACAAATTATTCCATTCATTCACATTTGCTGCGTTCCACTTTTCCGGGGCTCCCTATCGCAGGCTTTCAATCTACTTTTACACAGATGTGGATAAATTTCATCCAAAATAAAACCGACAAGGAGGACCGGGGGAAGAGTGCAATTCTGTTAAAGCCCTCAAAAACACACAGCGAAAAACTAACCGAGAAGATATTTACTGCGTAAGAAAACCAAGCCATCCCTTCCCTGTTTTGCACCGTTGCCTATCTCGCTCTCTCTCTCTCTCTTTCTCTCGCACGAAGCGGCTCGAAAGAAAAGCCTGAATTAAATTTCAATTCTCAACCGCAAATTTTTAATCCGATTTAACGCAGTCCTGAACCATGAAAATTCCGAAAAGAAAATGATGATGACGTTGGAAGACTTTCCGGGCTCGACCTGATGGCGTGAATGCATTGAACTGAGACTTTTGTGCCATCCATCAGCCAAGAGCGAACCGGGGAACAAAGCAGGCTCCGCTTTTGAATGAGAAACTATGCGATTAATAAATTGTAGCAGATTTTGCTTCCAGGGCCTGCTGCTTTGGGTTGAAACCAATTTTTTTTTTCGAGATGAAAGGGAGAATCTGTGATCCCTGTGTGCACTTTTCACCGACTGCATTGGGAAATTTGAGATGTTGCAATCCTTTCGGGTGCAAGATTTTGCGGTTTGTCCGGCCCCCCTCCCCTCCGGTTGTGTGTGGGTTGTACTGTTGGGATGCGTTTTGTATTGAAATGCCCTCATCCGCTTGTTGAGAACTGTCAGATTTTGCGGTTCGGCTACTAGCTTGGTTGGAAGATTGGCGATGAAGTGGAATCATCTAACATCCCATTAATCATCCGCCGATGACAAACCGCAAACGAATCAGTAGCAACACATACAACATCGACAGCCGCCGCTACAAATTACCCAAAAAGGTAAGCTCAAACCAGGCGCATAATTTGCAAACACGCACCGAAGAACGAGATTGAAATACCCCGATCAGCTAAACGAGAATTTGATCCACGCTGATAGGAAGATTGACGGAACCAGACGGAAGAGAACGAAGGGAAAAAACGACAAAACGCCGGTAGCTAATCAACTTTTCAAAATCAATCAGCTCAAAATGTGATCCTCGGCTGCCACACCGCTTGCCGCGTTCAGCGTTTGCTTCTTTTGACAGCATCCATCAGAGCAGGTCCACCACGCGGGCGCGGGATCCAAGCAAGTACCGAACCAAGTAGGCTACCCAACTACGTACGATCGAGCGAGTAAAACAGAAATCCAAACACAAATGAAACCTGATAGCCCCGACATCGGCTCCGGATTATGAATCAAGAAATTCTCGAGAAATTCTCCGAGTCCCAGAAATCAGCTGAAAGCGGTTCTTTGCTGCCAGCCGAAAATGGCAACAAACGACACGTATTTTAAATGGGTTAAAAGGGAAAATCGCTACTTTCCGGTCCATAAGCGACGAGACCGACGACCGAGAGCACGAGTCGAAAATAATCGATAAAACCCATTTCAAACGGATAATTTATATGCCTCCCACCCCTCGCCTCGTCTCAACGTATCTCTCGGTCGATGCTCGTAGTCGGAACGGAACCTCACAGTCAGCCACCAGGATCTAACTTGGGAAAAACTTTTTAGTTTTTTTGCCATTCCAGCAGCTAAAAACTTCCCTATTTTCAAGCTGCCATCTTACTCGGAGCGGTGAATCGGTGCGGAGGAGGGGACGGGGAAGGAAGTTGTTGAACTTTCACTTTTTTCCCTTCTTATCCGATTGAAAGATATCTGCTATCATTATTCTAGTACTTCCTTCTTGGCATGCGCCCTGTACCACGATGGGGCACCCCTCGGTGTTGGAGATGCTGTTGCTGCTGATGTAGTAGTGTGACAGCAGCTCAGTAGTCAAGCAGGCGGTGAACTGATGCGCATGAACGGAACGACGCCAATGTCTCGCCTACTGCGGTGGTGTGGTGGTGGTGGCTGTCGTCCATCCGAAAAAGAAGTGAAAGTGGAATCCGAAATCTGGACTGGGTCGCGTTTGTCTATTGTAAACAAAGGTGATCCAGCATCCCTGCTTGTGGAGATCAAACGCGACCGACGGCAAGTGGAGTGGAGCGACGGACGACGGGAGTTTGTATGTGTGTTTAGGACATTTGGGACTGTTGTTCGCTGCTGCTGCCGCCGCCGCCGCCACCACCTCTCGACACGGACGGTGGTAGCTAAACTCCGAATAGACCGGATGGAGAATTTGTTAATTTGGAAGCTACTGTTTGAGTTCGCGGGATCCTTGGAACGGGATTGAAGGATTTTTGTAGAATTTATTTTGGCTATGAGCATTGCTAAAGGAAGATTTAAACTATCCTTTAAGTGTTGGTTCCTTGACAAGCGTTGTCGATTCGAAGGAAGCAACCCACAATCTGTACAATATAGTAACATACATTTTCACATTTTTCTTTCACAGTGGGACAAGAATCAGAACTAGGCTATCTTCAAGGTATTTATTGAAAATAAAATTCACATTCATTTAAAGCGCATCGCTACTGGTCAACATTAGACCGTTAAAGTTATGGCGAGATCGTGTTCCAGAATCAGGCTTTGTAACATATGGTGAAGCAAAACGGCCTAAAACCCGGGCCCAAAGCATTTCGATTACTGTTTTGGGCCCGCTGTTGCTATGTTGGGTACGTGAAAAAATAAATCTGTCATCAAAGATTCGAGGTTCGAACTTCAGGGAAATCTGTGAACTTGAAGGAAATCTGTAAACAGAAAATTGTGCTAAATTATAGAAAGTCGGCGAGCTTCACGGAAATTTGCGAACCTATGCGAAGACCACGAATTTCTCGGAAATTCTGCGAACTTCAATAGCTTCTCTAATAAACTTCCCTAGTAACAAGTTAAGCTGAACAGTAAGAACAGAAGTTGATTATTGATTGATTTAAGGTGTACACAGCTTCAAGCACTACTAATCAACTATATTTTCAGCCTGCTGTTAATCAAGCAGGCTGAATATATAGTTGATTAGTAGTGCATGAAGCTAATTGTATCCCTATAATTCAACCTCAATAAATTAGCTGATCTAATGGTTGAACAAACCTTATTTTAGCTTAACACTACTCCATAAATCAGCAATGCAATACACATATTTTGATTAAGCAAGTGAGTAAGGAAGAGACAGTGTTTTCTTTATGGTTGATCCAAATAACATAAACCACGATGCTTTTAGAATCAACATAAAAGCCACACGACCACACATATAACGAACTGTCAAGTCCAGTCTAGATCAGTATGTGAAATGGGTCTATGTTCAAAATGTAAACAATGACTTTAAACGGCGATTTCTTGCGGATTAAGACTCATTCAGGCATACCTACTGCAGCATCTGGTACACTGAGGCAAAATAACCTAAGAATTCCATAAGAACCACTTATGAATTTGAGCCACAAGAAATCGGAATTAATTGCATTGATTTACCTTATGAAAAATTATGTCGACAAAAAAATAATAAAACTGAGCAGATTGGAACCGAACCATGGACGTTGTGATTACGAGTCCTGTGTCTGGACCACTCATCTGTCAACGCTTGGGAAAATGGAATGACTAATGGCGTAGAAGAGCTACCTCTTGTAAGACGATAAATTTTCATAAGTTAAATTCATATGTGTCGTTCATAAGTCGAGCCTAATGAAATTTTTAGGTCTATTTGCCTCAGTGTAGAGTAAGTTTGTTCTATCAAATGGTGTTGTGAGTTTGCGCGAACGTGTTGAGCAACCGTGCAAAGTCATTATTTACATTCGTCTCATAGGACCTTATCACATGTTGCTCAAGAAGTAAAGTCCGAAGGGCTGATGAGATCGACTCAAAATTGAGTGTTTTTTTTTTACTCATAATCGCAAAAATGTAGGTCATTCATGATTGAGTCATATGTTCCTCGCTTTTCCTCATAATTCTGCTCGAATATGAAGAAAATCGACGAAAATTTTACTCAAGTATACTAATAGACTGAGTAAAACCTCTCTCGACGTTTTTCCTGGAAAACTGAGGAACATTTTATTCAGTCCTGCGTTTTTGCGAATTTGAGTGAACGGAACTCAAATATAAGTCAAATTCGGCGGCCGTGTGCCTTATTAAGTTAAATAATTTTTTTCATACATACTGATTAATTATAAATCTTATAAAATTTTGTTGAACATATCTTTCCTTTCGAATAATATTCATTTTTGGAATAAAATTCACTGTCACGGTTTCCCAGTGAGTGGCAATGATAAGAGGGCAATGAATTAGTAAGTTTTTAACAGAAGGTTAAATACTCTGTCCTTCAGAACCTACCGGGCAAGCACCCTCTAACACACTTCCACCAGTGATCATTACCTAGGTCTGGCGGACTCGTAATGGATTTCGAACCAATTTGAACTGTCAAAATCGAACCATTTTTACTGTTCTCATAGAGCTCAATATGGAAGAAACAGATAGGGAGTATTGTAATCTGAGTAAAACGTAGTTGTTATTATTTTTGGAAACATATTCATAGTTTTGATGAACTGGGGTTTCCGGATCAATCTCGCAAAAAATCAACCACGCGCGGTGCAAGAAACGATCCTTCGGAAAGCGAAATAAACTTCTCTTCACCTGTGCACTTGCAGTGTAGCTGCAAAACTTTGCGTAACATCGCATTTTAACTGCTTAAGAACTTTTATGAAAACCAAATATTATTGATACAGTAGAAAACCGGAAAATTCGACACGCGCCAATCGATTTTACTCTCAATCTGTACGTCGGACATAGTGCGCTGTATTTGTACAATGATGAGCCATAATGCACACCATGTCCGACGCTTTGTTGTTGTACAGAACGAGAGTAAAATCGAAAGTCGGGTGTGGGGTTTTCCGGTGTCAAACGCGACCGACAATAACAACGAACTACAACAGACTACAACTACCAATCGATATTTCAAGAGAGTCACTCACAATCTTGCACACATTTGCTTTGTTTATCAATTTGACAACCGTTCGAACAGAGTAAAGCTTGCTGCAATGCGTCTTGGATAGTGTCTGAAGCTGTCTGCGATTCGACTTCGCCAGACCCAGATCATTACTATGGACGCACAAGGAATTACCCAACAAACATTAAATATTGAATAAGAGCCTATTCAGGCAAAAATAAACTTCTTCAGCAAATTGTTTGTTGGGTATAGTCATTAGGTATAGTTCATTTTACGCGATGACAGCAGCCAGTTTGCCTGTTGTTAACAGCCAGTGATAATATTGTTGTTAATTCGCTCAGCGGGTAGGTAACTGTAATAGTCTATTAATGAATTGAAAAAAAAAATCAGTTCATCAGAAACGTCTCGTGAAATTGTGTTTCTTCCCAAAGCCTATGAACAGAATCATATTTCAGTTAATTAGCAAAACATCCTACCGTGCATTTTAGCAATTCGTAGCTTGTAGTAAATACCAAAATTACAATCAATTCAGGAACCTCTGCAATGAATGTTTACAATTAGTTGGTCAAATTGTTTGTTGTGTCGCCAGCTCCGGACGGAAAATTAGATCAGCTGCATGCATGCATACATGACGAATGTAAACATTCGTGTTAGCAGGGCTGGTAGCAGGTCACTTTTTAGTGACTTAGCAACTATTTTGAAGCAAGTCACTAAAAAGTCACTTTTTACACCAAAAAGTCACTAAAGTCACTATTTCCCTAAAAATAGTCACTAAAGTCACTTTTTCACTACTAAAATAGAGTGAAATTTAAAAATATCAACAAAATGTTGGCACTAAGAAAGTCTACAGTAGTTTTAACAAAATATACATTTCTGTTGAAAAATTGAAATTTTTTAACTAGGGTGACCAGTGAACCGCAAAACTTTAGAGCACCAGGAAAACTATTGGGAAATGCCTTCAATTTCGATTAAAAATTGGGAAAAATATATCACCTTATTCACATTTCCCAGAAAATTCAATTTCGATTAAAAATCGGGGAAAATATACCTCCTTTCCCAGAAAATAAATTGTAAACCTTGGAAACTTTCCAAAGGTATTTATCTGTGATAGATTTTCAAAAGTCTTTCAAGGATGATTAAGAACTTTAAAAAATCCCAAGTATATTTTAAGAGAATTTTAACGGATTCTAGGGATGACACCAAGATGTATCAGATATTTCATTCACCAAAGTACAGACAACGAAAGTCTTATGTAAAATTTGATCTGAGAACCGATTTCAACATCTCCGCTTAAATCTTAAGTCAGATTTAACTATATAGTTAAACTTGGCTTAACACACATACGAGCGTCGCTTTTGATTATTGTTTAAATTATTAGAGACGCAAAATTCAGCTCCGAAACAATATAATTGCGGGTGGATTTTAACGAAAGTTCTGAGAAGAATTCTATGATGATTGGATGAGGATTCTAATAAGAATAATATAAGAATTCAAAATTATTTCTGAAAGGAAGCTTTGATGAAAATTGCATGAAAATCCCGTGAACTCCAAAAACGGTCTGTACCGATAGTTCTAAAAGAATTCTGGGGTGATTTCTGAAGACACTTCCAATAGAATTCGAAAGGGTTCGAAATAAATTCCGAGAAAAATTCCAATGGAATAGAATTTTGAGGGTTCAATCGCAAAGGAATTCTGAGAAGAGTTTCAAAGTTATTCTGTGATGGATTTTTTTTTTGAGAATTCTGAGGAAATACTATGGGAATTCTAAAGGAGAATGAATGCCGGAGAGAAATCCAAGGTTATTCTAAGCAGAAATTTATTAAATTTCTGAGGTTAATTGCATGGAAATTCTAAGGAGCAGCGAGCAAGGACAATTTTGAGGAAGGTACGAAACGGGTAGTTGCTTACGTCAGATGGCGACTTGAGTGTGAAACAATCGATAGAACTGTTTCCGCACATCGGAGGTACATGAGCAAATCGGTGATCATCCCTTTTGTCAGAAATGCAATCTAGCGGAGCAAAATTAATAACTCCGAAACGAAGAATTTCCGCCACTTGGTGTCTTCGGCAAAGTTTCTCATCATAATAAGAACCATCTAACAGTAGGCTGTGGAGCTTTGAGTTTTTCAGAAGAGTTGTTTATTTTATCAAGATAAACAACTTTGCCTATGTCGTCAAGTCTTCAAAACGCCATTTTAATGCATTAAAAAAAGTTATAGAAAAAATACATGCTCCATTAAAATGATGAAATCTCAAAAACACCAAAATATACCTCTCTCAAATTTTGATATTTTGTTTATCGAGTATTGCTTAATTTTTGCTGAAAACGTCAGGTTGCGATTTTTTGCGCTTTGGGAGATATTAAAGTTCAAAAATTGTTGTTTTTTTTCGGTTTTTCAACAATATCTTTAAAATTTGAAGCTTAAACCAGTATTTTTCTTCACAAAAGTTATTTATTTAATGCATTTGCTTAAGAGAAAAATATAACTTTATATGGTTGTCAGCAAAAAAACCGAAACAGAAAGAAAAAAGCATATTTTCGACATTTTTTTCTT